TAATGGACCCAGTGGTGCAGAATTAATGGTTGAATACAGGTGTGGTAAAGTGGCAGACTGTGTAATATCCGGATCGGAACATTGTTTATTAGTCGCATAGTTTTAATGTTTCTGGGGAAAATGTGTAATGATCCCATTTGTTGCGACACGGACAAGGGTCTGACATTGTAAATAATTCCTTTCCTGATAAGACCCTTTCCCTTGTCGCAACAAACGGGATCAATACAAATTTTGCCCCAGAAACAAAGTGGCAGACGTAAGAATAATCTGCCTGACCAGGACAGGCGGCAAGCTTTGAGAGACCTGCTAGTAAACGGCATGCAGCCCAACACGTCAAAACTCCGCAAGCAACCCTTGCAGCCCGCAACACAGCACATTTTACAGATTGCTCTGTTTGTAATTCTGATTTGCATCCAGCTAGGGTGCCCTCATAACAATATGAACAATGGTATGTTAATGAAAGAACAATAGGCCGTCAGATGGTGTCACGATTAATGGAATTCACGACAAGATTAACCCTCCCGAAAGCTGTGTAACCAGGAGGGGGGGTCATGAGTATTTTTAACCATTCCAAGCTGCACTTTCTGCAAAACAAAACACGTGGAAAATGTGGTTTTTAAAACGTGTTATCGTTACAGACTGTCTGTGTTATCCTATGACGTTATAAAGTAAGACTCCAAGTTGGTTTTCCGGGAGGAAACGATTAACTCTCATTAGCAACTCAGCAGTCAAATAAATATCGTGAAAGTGATTATAGTTAATAGCTAACTAATCCTGGTGTTGAAGCTGTCACAGCGTCTAATTTATTCTAGAAGATAAGGTCGACAAAGCCAGGAACAGGTCGACAAAGCCAGGAGAAGCTATCATACTATCATAATATAGGAAAGTATCACATATGTGTGCACGCAGGAGATGTCTAACCCTCAAACTAGACTTTGGAGATCTCGTATCATCACAATTCACAATCTCTAATCGACACAGTATAATTAATCCCTGCTAATCCAGGTGGCGGGAACCACAAAGGGGCCACCACAAAAGGGGCATTTGTTCTAGACAAGATGTTCTAGACAATATATTGCCTGTTCTAATATTATACGGATAACTCAAGCAAGCAGACACAAAACACGATCGAGCAAGGTTTAACTTAGAGAAATCGAAAGCAAAACCGCTTATATCAACACTTAATAAAACAGCGATGGACTATTTAATTTCCATAAAGGTTGATTAAAAAGGGTTGGTTAATCCACATAGTACATATATTTATTATTATCAGTATTATCGAAGCGTGGCACGTTTAAGGATTTGTAGTTCTTTTCGAACATCTTCACAAGATTAACTATTAATATTAAGTCACAAAATAGTGACGCAAAACGCTAATATTTACAAAACTAAAAATGTCTTAAACAATTAAACATAAGACGATAAATTGTCTTGGCTAATAACTGTGATCTCCTCTAATTTCCTTATCTGCAGGAGATTCCCCAATAACACCCCTTTGCAGGTTACATCATAAAATAAGTACACTCTAGATGGTATATAATTAACTGCAAGGGTTTCCCTAGGCCATGTTGAGTTTCTTAAGAACCCTACCGTTCTTGCTTGATCTACAAATATGACTTATATCTTTTAATAATACTGTACCTAATCGTAGTGAAGAATATGGCGAAATCACGACTTGTAGCAAAGGCCTGAAAAGTTACACTTTTTGAAACAGAGCTCGAAACAAAATTGTAATATAAAATATAACCAACGAACAGGAAAAATTACATCAGTAGAATGACATAATAATTGGAGTGTAACCTATATAATAATGATACTCCGCACTAGAATATCAATAATAATGATACCCCGCACTAGATTGGGAATCCGTTTATAAGACTCCATTTTACTTTGTATTTGTATGTACAGTAATTTCCCGATTTACTGCAGAGTTTGGGAGAAAGGAAAAAGCCGCAGTAAATCGGGGCGTGGTATATCGGAGCTTTACTGTACGGGGATTTTTATTCTGATCAAATGGGTAATAGTGGAATGGTGGGGGGGGGGGGGAAATGGCATAAAATGCCGCCCCCCCCCCCCCCCCCCCCCCCAGTGGAATGTTATTGCTTTATGAGAGACCACATCAAAATGTATCGGAGTACGGAGAAGGATACAGAATACAGACAATACGGAATACAAACAATACGCCCCCCCCCCCCCCCCCCCCCCCCCCCGTAATACTTTCTGCCGTTTCCTGTACGTGTAAGTTATAAACACTAAACAGAATATGAAGAACCACTGAAACACAACTGGTAGTACTATCTAGAACATCTAACACTAAAATAGTAGTTAGTACTGATGTGTGACTCATCGTGAAATTGGACAATGAAAAGGAGGAATTTTCAGTGATCTTGGTCTACTAGGGGTCAATTTCATTTGTTAACACTACTGACACACCTCGTTCTGGTTTCAGAAATGTTACTTAATAGAGGATGAGAATAGAGAAAATGTGATTGTCTAAGGCGAGTAGAAAACAGAAAATGTGATTATTTAACAGAGTACAGACAATTTGATTGTTGAGTAGAATTGTTAACTAAAGGAACAACGGAGTGATCTACTGGTATCATCTCATGACACAGATCAACATATTTTACAATTTGATCTGATGAAGAATGCTGCCTCAAACCAGCTAATCTTCCGTTAACCTCACGGCACACCTCCTCAGATGTTAAATTACAGACATTACAGGCAATATTATCCAAGGAAACGTGTTAGTAAGTGAGGAGATTGTTACTCCAGAACTTAAAAACAATCCCACAAAATTCAACAACATTTACACCATATTATAACACTTCTGCTCAACAAACGATTGTCAATTTAATTTCCAGAAAAAACCATCAAAACAATCCCACAAAATATGGAATATTTACACCAAATTATGACTATTATAACACATCTACTCAACAAACGATTGTCAATTTAATTTCCAGAAAATTGTGGAGGTGTTTACTGTTTCCATGCTACCACATGGAATAACATAAATTCTAGAATATTTGAATATGACCATTCCGTGATACGTGACGTCTAAAAGCAGTGCGAATTCAGATATTTGGTATTAGTAATTAGTAATTAGTGGTAAGATGATCTAGACGGGACCGTAAATACGAAATAACTGTGATACGAACTGAGTCAAGTCCATTTAATTCGATCTAAAAAACAAACTATTGTTGCCCAGTAGACTAATATATGCAAAAACACGACATTTTGATCACTTTAATCTACCCTTTCTCTCCTTTACAAAAACACAGCTGGTGGGAAATATGTGAACAATGGATCGCTATTTGTGATAAAAATCTGATGAATGCTTGTTTTTCGACCATTCAACAGACACCTATGATTAATTTTTGTCAAGGACCCTTATAGAATTTGATCTATGGTTGAGTTGGTCAGATGATGATTCTGACTTGAATCTTTTGGCTCGAAATGTTAGGCTCTGTATACAAAAACGATACTAATTTATGAAGAAAAAGTCTGTAGGTCTGAAATGAGGTCACTCGGAGGCTGACATCTCACGTAAATCTCAGTTTTTCAGCTCACCATTTAATCTCGTTGATTACGTTTCTGTTGACATCACTTCACGTTATATAAGAGTGGCTAATCACGATGTGCCCCAGAATGCAACTGCTAACAGAGCAATATACTTTATTAAACGTTCACAAAGATCAATATTGCACGTGAAGAAGACCCATGTTGCACGTGCACAAGGGTGTAGGGAGCAGGGGGGCATTCCTTCACCCCTGCACGTGCATCAGCGATCTGATGAGATAAGTTGCACGTGCATCAGCGTTCTGATGAGATAAGTTGAAGTTTTCTGATCAGCCGGTCACAAATACTTTATTACGACAATTTCTACTCAATTTTTTGAGTAATAAGGATAAAATACTGTGAAAGGGGCAAAGTGTACAATTTCTATATTTTATTGCATTGCAGTCAAGATAGAAAAAAACTTTAGACAGACTGAATTTTTGAGAGTGTTCTGAAACAGATAACAGCATAGGAGTAGAGGTGCTAATTTAAAAAAATACTTAATTATTGCTAAAGTTTTGGATAGACAATCTTCACACTCAGCAGAGAATTTTGTATAGCTAATTTCTGTTTGCACAACTGGGGCCAAATGAAGCTGAATTTAGTGAGCCACTAGAGAATGCAATGTGGTTAACAGGATTTGATCAAAATAAGTACAATTAGGGATCGTTCACTAAATTGGTACACATATTATGTAAGTCAAATGTGGCCAATTAAGACCCACCTACCTTCGTAATCGCTTTTATAAAAATTTCACTACGTAATCATTTCTTAATACATCTGAGCTGCTTACGTTATATGCGAACAATACTTATATTATTATATAAGGTTTATCTAGTAACGATTAAATATTACCTTCTAACATCATAATCTTTGTAGCTGTGCCTACTTAAGCTACTTTCACAGGGCGTGATGCTGCTCAGCAGTATTGAGATTACACTGGAATAGACATATCAACATTCAACAGTTGAAACGATTGGAATTGGAGGGCAAACAATTTGTTTCATCATAATTCGAGCTTTTCATTTAGAATTAAAACAAGTCTTTCATATTATGAAGCAAGGGTGTGGACTGGCTACACCTGGTTAAAGCACTTCCATCTCATTACATAATGATAATCAATAAGTGTAATAGATTTGTAGTGTTGTAATTAGTTTGAATGACTTTAAAAAACAATTATCGTTGCCAAATTAATTTTTTAAAAGGCCCCAATCACCCTTACAAATCATCATCTTAGAATAACTTATTTTACGTTCTAAGCACATTGACAAAGATTGTGATTGGTTTACAGATCCCTAGGTTACAGAGTTAAAATATGTTAAAGCTGTTCACCAAGCATATCATGCAACAATAATAATTGATACCTTAATTGACATCAATTTTAACTTTATGATTTAATTTTATGGAAAAATTCGAAATACAAAATCTCCTTAATTAAGTTGGAAAATTGTCCAGAGATGGTAATTGTTGTAGTTTAACTGTTAGGCAGGGCAGTTCTTCTCCAGATATGGTTATTGTTGTAGTTTTATGCCGGCAGGGCAGTTCTCCTCCCGTTCATCCTCTCCAAAGTAACAGTTATTGTATCCATTACACATAGAATCCTCGCTGATGCACCTGAGATGTAGGTTTACACTTTAACTGGTAATTGTTCTGTAAATATGTCCCAATATGTGTTGCCCATCAGTGTATTTTCTTACATGTTTGGAGAAGTTTGCGATTATTAGTTTAAATGAATAAGTAAGACTAAGAATACTGGTACCAATGATCAGTAAATAATCATACAAACAAATAATTAAATACAATTAAAACATACTAAAACTTTATAAGAAACCACGTTATAACATTACAATGTATTTCGTTAAACTTACCGGTTACATCTTGCATCTTCATAGAGATCAATAACCGTCGGGCACAGATGAAAGTCAGGACATTTCCAGAGACCAGGTCCACAGATCGGACCAAAGTAAGAGTCACAGTCTTCCTCGTCCTCCCCTCCCTCACAGTCCCTCTCCCCGTCACATCTCCAACTCACTTCAATACATCTACAAAGATAGTTTGCAAGTAATTCTAGTTTATGTTAATGGTAGTTTACCACATTATGTGTGGTGGATAACACGACAAATTCAGTATGCAATTCTGTCGAGATAGTATTGATATCATTTTACGGTAATTTTCCCCTTAATCTATCTTTACTCCTTAGTCTAAGAAATAAACTCAAGTTGAAAGTGTTGAATTATAAATACCTGTCACTGCACTCCCAGCTGAAACTCCCACAAGGACTGGTCTCGTTGTGGGACTGATAGTGATCCGGATCAAAGCACTTCCTCTCCGCAAGCATCTCCCAGCCCCTACCATCATAATACAAGCCACGTGGTCGGTATAGATCGTACACCCCGAACAGCTCACAATGTGCCTCAGATCTTCTAGAGTACTGGTTCTTGAAGGCAGCGTGGCAGCCGGCGGTCTCCGTACACAATCTTTCACAATCTTCCTCATCCTTCCACTCGGTTCTGAGAAGTTTGGTAGTTTGGTAGCTTGGTACCACTCCCTTGTTCCAGCAGTCGTCCCTTTTTGAGGTGTGTTTGGTTGGAGCCTCAGTCTGAGGACCCATTGTGCCGTACCAGTTGTGTCCTTTTGCCATGGTCGCAGTGTATCGTTTTTGTTTTGGGGCTTCTGTTGGGATCGGTTCTTCGACTCTGCATGATTTAGATGCCTTGTCTTCTTTGTCTACGAATAAGACTTTGTCTATCTGCCGGCCCCAGTAAGTTTCCCAAGTCTTCTCACGTCTTCCGGTGCAGGATGTGTCGGAAACTGTGAAGTTTAAGACTTGCTCACCATTTGCAAGGATCCTTACCCCAGTGGTGACCCTTTCCACTTTCCACACCTTTTCCAACTCCATGTTTCGAAGTTTTTTGGCATCCGTCCAGTGGAAATTTGTCCACGAGCGACAATAGGGGAGAGCAAATTTCGGTTTAGTTGAAAGTTTTATTTTCAATCCTCCAGCAATGTTTCCATCCTTATTGTAGAACAATAAACTAATTTGGTCATTGCTTCCTAACGCAGATTTGGTGCTGATGTCCAGAGGCTCACGTTGCAGGTTGAGATTAAACTTTCTTTTTCTCGGTATTAGTGCCCAGTTAGAAGTTGGCAGTTGGATCCTATATGAGTCGGACGCTTTGTCGAGCCTTTTAGTGAACTTCACCTTATCCGTTACCCTCTCCCAGTAATACCTCCAATGAGGCCATCTATCACAAGTTATATCCGAGGGAGAGAAGTTGATAACTTCCACCTCGTTACATGTTACAACCACTGTTTCCTTGTCTTTGGAAATCTTCCAGAGCTTGTTCTGATCGGCAGGAAGCTTTTCAGAGAAGAGTTTCCATTGAGAGCACCAGCCTAACATGTATTGTGGAGGGTTACTCAACTTGATGAACACGCCACCAGATTCTTTCCTTTCATGGTTTTGGAACACCATCCGTATCTTGTGATTGCTTCCTATTCCAGAGTTTGTCTTCAGTTCCAGGTTGTGTTTTTCAAAGTTCAGGTGTACTGCATGTATAGGTTTTACTTCTTTCCAACCTGACGTGGAAATAACTGTTAGAAATATTTTTAAAGTAGGACTAATTTACTTATAATCTTCATATTGAATTCGTACTTTACTCGCAAGGTAGAACTCATCCCCAATTTTCAATACTTAGTGTATTTCAGCTCGAATAATATAGCAAACATGCCCTAAAATCCAAGCTTGTCTGGAATCCATACCAAGCTTGTTGTGCTTTTCTTGATATACAAAGGAACCCTTTCTACTCAATTTCAGTCATATTCGTGGAGTTTTGATGTAACATGAGAATGTTATATTCTGATTCAACCATAACTCGGTTCATAATATAAAAAAAGGAAAACATCAGATATATCAGAAAAAATGAACACGATGTAATAGAATTACATAGTACATACCATAGTTTGCCATCATCACTCGTGTGCATGATCTTGACAAGGACACTAGAGCAGCGAGTAAACAAAAAAATCTTACTAAGCACATTTCTCTGCTGAAATCAAATGAAGTGGAATAAATATAGAATATAAATGAACCTTGTAAAGCAAAGCTGTCCGGCAAATTTAATATATTATGGTACAACAATTGCATTACTGATAAAATTTATTTTATCTTGTCACTTGATCATACTGTGGTGCCAGAATATTGCTTGCAGGTGCCAGAATATTGCTTGCGCATGGTTATTGCCGTGACCTTATTGTTATCAATTTTTAAACCTTGAAACCACCTCCCTCCCCAGGAGACACTGCACAGCCACTACAGTGAGACAGTATCCGACGTGAAGCAGTCCCTGCTAGTCTCCCAACCTCCTCAGTTTGAAGGACAGAACACACTGGCAGACATCATGTCCACCATGAAGGCGAGCCTGGTCGGGAAGCTGAAACTTGTTCTGGTCAATGTCAAGGAGTTTATCAGCGCAGATATTACCTTTGCTAACAAGCCGTATTTCAGGTAGGGTTGATGAGAATTTGTTTAGGTTTTTCTGAGCAGCCTGGAGATTATCGAATATATTTTGATTGTAAGATACCAACAACAAAAAAAGGTTCGGGAATCGTATTGACAATAGCAAACTAACCTTGTTCACCCCAGAGGACCGTTCTGTGTACATGATATAAAGCAAGGGCTGGTGTTGAAGTACATAGAGCACATCCTACAACACGTCTCCACCCTTGGAGACAACCTTCCCCCCTCTCTCCTTCTTGTTATGGCTCGACTTTGTCTCGACTTTGAGACTAACACCATCAGGTGAGGTTACGTGTCACGTGATATGAGATTATTAGGGGGCAAGGATAAAAAGTAGGTGGGGACTAGGTGTTAGTTCAGTGATTACTGAAGAGTAAATACTTAGGTTTTCCTGAGTCTTAGATTGGTATTCTTAAAACTTAAGTGCAGTCCGCTAAGTAAGAATTTATAATCCGACTAGACTCAATCTTGAGTACGACTTGAATCTAAGTAAATGCTCAGTGAAATGAACTGGAAATAGTCAACAACTTAGTATGATTAATTGAGTTACTAATCAATTCAGCTTATTATGCAAGGATTTTTAATTTCATTTTGAGCAAGCGTTCGGAACATTGTCATTGAACAGTAATTGTCATTAAGCATTAAATTATATCGCAATTATTAGTTGCTGGTCACAATGTAAGATTGTATTATATTTCGGGCAATAAGCGTTCATAATTATATACATATATATATATTTAGCGTTCATACTGTAGAACTGTAATTGGTTCGTCATAAGATTATATAACTCGGTAGATTTAAATAACAAAGCACCGTCAATTGGGTTTGCTAACCTTAATTGCAGGCTGGGTGTCATCGTTTCACAGTTTGGCGAGCACATTTAATTTTGGTTTATTTTAAGCAGTTCATGTTGTAACCAGAAAGTTTTACCTAATTAAAAAGGAACTGCTCAAAGTTAGAAAGTATATAATTAAATGGCAATATTTTAACAAGTCCTGAGAACTTCTGAGAGAGTAGAGTTATTATAGTCCTAAGAACTTCCCAGGGATAATATTAGTCTCACGCCTACCAACTTGAGCTTGAAATAATTGTTTGCTGAGCAGCTTGTGAGAGAGCAGAACTGTAATTATAACATGTGATTGAGTGGTTATGGAGTAAGGATTATTAAATTAATTCAAAATTTTTACAAATTTTTCCAAAAAAATTGTAAATCCAAAATATATAATTTAAATGTGCCCTGTTTCAGTTATCTGTGCAACCTGACGGAGGAGATGTTCCCTCCTGACCAGTCAGCAGTCCCGGAACAACTCTCCCCAACAGTAACCGAGCTAACCTCACTTGCGCATGACACTGTGCAGCAGGTAAATACAGCTGGTACACTGTACTGACTGGGTGTTAAAATATAGTGCAACAATAATAGAGCAACCTGGATTGTGTTGTCTTTCCTTGTGATTTAAGTAAAATTGTTTTCCAAACCCGTAACCTACACCCTAGCAGCTAGTGACTGCCAGTGTACCCTTCTTTAAATCTGGTAACTGCAGGTACTAACGAGGTATGTGAACGTGAAGGGCTTATCAATAAGTCAGATGATACACACCAGTGTTAAGACACGTGATTGGTTGAGCGCTGTAGAGCCTAGAAACGTGCGAGCTGGTGAGTCTTTTATATTGTAGAGCCTAGAAACGTGCGAGCTGGTGAGTCTTTTATATTGTAGAGCCTAGAAACGTGCGAACTGGTGAGTCTTTTATATTGTAGAGCCTAGCAACGTGCGAGCTGGTGAGTCTTTTATATTGTGGAGCCTAGAAACGTGCGAGCTGGTGAGTCTTTTATATTGTAGAGCCTAGAAACGTGCGAGCTGGTGAGTCTTTTATATTGTGGAGCCTAGAAACGTGCGAGCTGGTGAGTCTTTTATATTGTAGAGCCTAGGAACGTGCGAGCTGGTGAGTCTTTTATATATTGTGGAGCCTAGAAACGTGCGAGCTGGTGAGTCTATTATATTGTAGAGCCTAGAAACGTGCGAGCTGGTGAGTCTTTTATATTGTGGAGCCTAGCAACGTGCGAGCTGGTGAGTCTTTTATATCGTAGAGCCTAAAAACGTGCGAGCTGGTGAGTCTTTTATATTGTCATTTCTGGACCTCGATGAATTAATTAGCAAGTTAATGAATATATTGGTTCACTAGTGTAACCCGGCCTTCGGCCGGGATTTAACTGTTGCGGTTAAAACGGGGCAAAAGTATGAACCCGCTTAGCCGATAGAGAAAATTCCTCTCGATCTGGTCGTGATCAATTTTGACCTCGTATATCTTTCAAATCGAGCTGCTGCTGTGATAGATAAATGACAAACATAAATGCAAAAACCACCAATAAAACCACTTACCGTTGACTGTTTTTTTAACTGCTTCGTCAGAGTTTTGTCGGCATTGTACCTCATAAATCTTACCGTTTTCTTGATCAAGCGGTTACTACATACGCGAACGTAGTCGTACGAACGGTCGGACGCACGGGTTGTTCACTAATAATTTATAGATGAATTAATCAGTCTATGAGCACATTTGTTAGGTATTTGTAGGTCTGCGTGATACTTTGTAGCCATTCAAACATCCCATGTTTTCAGCGATGAAGCGAGTAGTAGAAGAGATAACAGAACTTGACACCCAGATAGGGTCCCTATTTGAAGAAGGAGCAGTACGGGGTCCCAACTCAGACAGCAGCCGTAGAGCCCTGTCTCATAACGGCTCTAGAATAGCGTCCTCAAAGTACAAGTACACTCCTAGCGACACTGAGAGCAGCTTGCTTAACAAGGTTAGTTGTGAGAGGCCCCCCCCCCCCCCCCCCCCACCGGTGTAGCACATCCCAACCAAAAATACAAGGGGGCGCAACTGTCAGTAGGTAGTAATACTATGAACTAACAATTATTAACATTTTAATAATATGTAGTTATTGAGAAATGTAACTGAAGCACAGGAATAATGGAGGTTATTGAATTGTGGGTTCTTTACAGATTGCTGTTTTTCGAATTTCTTAGTGAAAATTAATAATTATTTTGATATTCTTCTGAGCAGTGAAAATTAATAATAATTTCTATATTCTCATGGTACGGTACCAGTCAGTCGGGCACGTGGTTACCAAGTGACGCAGTCACGAGGTACAGTCAGCTGATAGATAACGTGACCAATATTAGCCAGCGAGAAGGGCTGGATTTCATGCTCAAGCAAAATTAGATTTAGATTCACAGCTCACAATTCACATCCTTATAGTTTGAGTAAACATGAAGAGGCGGCCAATTTCAAAATTTTGGTCGGAAAATGTTCCCAAGACTGTTGTTTTGTGCCGTAAAAATAAGCAATTTATAGAACTCCTGACAAAACTCGTGCCTTCGGCACTCGTTTGGTAAGGAGTTCTATAACTTATCATACCTTTTCTCAGGAAATCTTGACAAGGATCTAATCAAATTTTATGTTGAGCAGCACTTGAGTACACTATGGGTATGGTGTAAGGAACTAACATATTCTTAGTGTCAATGCTTAGTGTCAATGCTAAGAATATGTTACTTTACCAAAGTAAAGTAACATATTCTTAGCAGTGAAATTTAATAATAATTTTGATATTGTCATACACTTTCTCAGGAAATCTGGACAAGGATCTAATTAAAGAATCAAATTTTTTGTTGAGCAGCATTTCACATGACTGTGGTGTGAGGAACTAAAATCACAACTGCATTTAAATAATGGTTGCTTGGAATTACTTTGCTATTCTTGCTTAGCTTTTTTTCTTAACATAATACCATGGCTAAAAATTTCCTTAGGGTCATTTCCCTCAGTATTATTTACGACACGTGCACTTATTCTTTTGTGAGTTCATATTATAACCATATAATATTTTGTCTAACTTCATTATTGGAAGTTCTGGTTGACATTTAACCGTTAACGTTTGTAATCTTGCCCATACTAAATCTAATCAGAATAGAATTAAATTTTTAATTATACGATGCATAATTCATGACTTTTTATTCCGCCTTTTTTACATCTTTTTAAGTTGTCTTGCATGACTGATGAGCTTTTTAGTTGGTTCGCTTACACAGTTTCAGTAATTAATTTCGAATAAAAACATTTAAAAAACCCATTTATTCGTTGCAGTGGCAAAAAGGATGTTGACAACCATTCCCGTGCACCTCCTCAGTCTCGCTGCCCTCACCTGTGGCAGATAACTCCTACGACTACCTAAAACTTGCTCTACAGTGGCCACTAGGAGCTTGTTCAGGGAATAAGAACTGTATCTCCCCTGTCCCTGAACAATGGACAGTGCACGGGTTGTGGCCTCAAAGAATCAGTGGTGGATGGCCCAAGAACTGCTACCGTCCTGGAGACTGCCCCCTCCAGGGCCTCGAGGTGCTTGATGACCGTATTGTGCCTGATTTGAAACGCGATATGGAGACACATTGGCCTTCATTGTTCCCAGACAGGAAGACAAATGAGAAGTTTTGGGAGCATGAGTATTGCAATCATGGCACGTGCTGTGACGACGTAATGCTAATACCAGAGCCTCATATCTACTTCATTCAAACTCTCCAACTCCGCGCTGATATCATCGCCAGTCTGGAAACTGCAGGGCATAACTCCTAGTATAAGGGATAACTCCTACCCCTTTAAAGTGGTGGAAGATGCACTGAACGTGAAGACTGCGGAGTATGAGTGCAGGACAAGCAAAGGTGGAAGACAGCTTCTCTCTGAACTGCGTGTCTGTCTTAACAAGACCAGCTTCGCTCCCCAAGACTGTCCAACTGTGCAAAAACAAAGGCCCTCTTGTGACAAGACCAAACGGTTTCTATCTGATGCCAGCAACAACTTTAAACACCGAACTTTAAACACCGAACTTAACGTTATACTCTGTATTTTCGTATAAACGTGACGTTTTCATTGAAAAAAAAATTGAGCATTGAATATTATATTATCTCAATCAACTACCGCTAATTGACCTTTTTCAAATTAAACATTACCGCTGGGATTTTTCACACTGTTGAAAATTCTTCAAAATAATTAGATTTTCAGTGCAATTTCCCAAACAATTACAGCGATACATTTTTCTACTTTTTTTTTCAACAGTAGTTTTTTGCCGAGCCATTGATTTAATTCCTATAAATTTTCTGATCATATTATATACAAATAACGTTCTTTTGATACAGTACAATTTTATACTTACATAACAAATCGTATTCATATCGTTTGTATGTTTTTAGAAATAATTAAGATGTCGCAATTTTACTATGAGTCTGGTAATCGCTTCAGACCGGTAAATCCTATTGCCAAGAGTTAAACAAACCAGTACCCTTGTGTTTACCAGCAACCTCTCTGCCGATATGTGTAGCTATTATACCATTTTCAGTATCTTCAGGGAACCTACCTCAGGCGAACAACTCAATTAAGCATTCAAAATTAAAATTAAAATTGAAGTATTCAATTAAGTAACCAGTGTGTTTCAGTTGTTCAATGACCAAGTGGAGATATTTGGAAGTATCCAGTTCACCAAGCTCTCAATTTTAACGGGCATCATTAAAATCGGACTAAAAGCTTTTCTAGAGAGTGTTCGTTTACGGACCTTCGGAAAGTTCGGTCTACAGCAAGTCCAGGTAAAGGCTTTACAAGCAATTATAACTTGAGCGATTTTATTCGGGTTTTATTCCATACTCATATTTACATACTATTTTATAACTATTCGTCCTAATGACGTGTTTTCTGATTGTTCAATTAGTTAATTAGTTAATTAGTTAATTTACCACAGGTGGATGTTTATTATTTGCGAGAGTACCTGTGGAGATTTGTGGAGGAGGAACGTCTTCTTAACTTCTTACTCGAGGAGGTAATTGTGATAAAGCTTCACTGTAGTCACTTTAGTCACTGTTGACTGTAGTCACTGTAGTCACTTTAGTCACTGTTGACTGTAGTAACTTTAATTACTGTAGTCACTTTAGTCACTGTAATAACTTTAGTCATTATAGTCACTGTTGACTGTAATCACTTTAGTCACTGTTGACTGTAGTTGCTGTAGTCACTTTAGTCACTGTTGACTGTAGTCACTGTACTCTTATTAACTAATAGAGCTTAAGCGAGGACATACACCAAAACCGTTCATGTTTATTCCCGCCAGACAACTTCATATTAGGAAAATATAGACAACAAATACGTAAGTTAAAATTTGTTTCGAATATTTGCACTTTCGAAAAAATTCGTTCCTCTTAATTAAGCCTCTAATATGTTAAAACTAAATAATAACCGATCCGTATCACAGGTAATCAGCAGTGCAGTTGACCGGTGTATTGACCCTGTCACAATGGAACCATCTGTCATCATGCTGCTGTGTGAACCAAGTTAGAAATCACATCTGTCATCTATAAGGAGTCTAGAATTTCGTTTATTTTGATTTTTGATTTAATTGAGATAAAATCCGAGGCTGTTAGAATGGATGGGTTTTAAGGTACATATTTGACTATTAGATACAACATTTAAACTAATTGTGTTGTTTTAAAGTAAAATATAAGTTTGTTCGCTTTACAGTTGAAAGATTGTAAAATATTGAATGTTTGCATTTTGAAAATATAATGTTAGCGCTGGCCGTTAAGTTTGTTTGGAATAATAACTTTATGTTACCCTGCTAAATCTGTTAATATGTATGTACTTACATTCAGTTATGTGGATAATTTATAGCTGCTTATTATTTAGAAATTACCAAAACTATCAAAAACAATGATAAGATTCTAAAAGATAACAATACAAAACAATAATAAGATTTTCAAATGATTCCACTTTGGTCGAAACACTAGCAGATTCTACAGGACTTCTGACAGTTCTCCCCCATCCAGTCTGAGTACTCAGCATCGTCACAGTTACCCTGTTTAGACCAGTAATCACAGTACATTTGGTAATCGTAACAGGGCTCACTGTCGTCATTACTGTCGTCATCACTGTCGTCATTACTTCCTCCAGCTGCAGCTGAAATGTGGGGGTGAGGTTAACGGAGTAGGGCATTCTTAATTCTCAGTTAACGAGGGAGGGTGTTCTTTCGGTAAAGCCAAAACAGAACCAGTCTTGGATTAATTCTTTTACCCGCTCTACGTCTAAGTACATTTAAACACAATATCCTAATTCAGTTAATTTATAAGTCAGCATTACTAGTAGTGTCAGGTCGGAGCTGTGTAAGTGAGATGTACTCTGCAGCTGGTCCTCCTACTTCTACCTCATCTGCAGTGCTGACATCCAACTGTGGTTTTGCTTTGTGGTTTTACTTTGTGGTTTTACTTTGTGGTTTTACTTTAGTTTAAGGGTTTGTATGTTGAACTAAATATACTAAAGATACAGTTAAAGTAGTTGTCAGATGTTAGGTATGGTATAGTGATGACTAACCTTGTGAGTACACGGTTTCAGTACCAGCCCATTAACGGAGCTCTCAAACCCTTCCTCCGTTACCGTTATCTCCAGGGTGAAGTAACCGTCCTCTTCAACGGAGCTCGGGTAGTCACCTGCTATCTGGAGAGACGGGTGTCAGTTGCTGGCTGAAGATTCATACATGCATCAATATTCAGTACACATCAGTTTAAGATAGCAGTAAGTTATGATTGTCGTGGATGAAGCTAATGGTGTGACGTCACATGATCATGACGTCACGTGACTTCACATGACGTCACGTGACTATGTGACGTCACGTGACTACCCTTACTTTGTTTCCCCAGACTCCGTTCTCTCTGTGATTCATTTTGTACTTGTTCTTGCTCCTTTGGAAGTCAATGTGGAACACTATGTTATTCCCGCTAAATATGTTCACAAACCACTTCTTAGAGGACGATGATATTTCTGTCCCTGTGATTAATGTCACGTGGTAAAACAGAAGTTATTACTAGTGTGCTTATAAAATATATAGGGCGAGGTCCCAGTAGGTTTTGTTTGGTAGAAAAAAGAAAAATTGAAATATTCTCCCACATTACTTTCGAACCTATAAAATGAGAACTAATCTTAGAATACCTTTAATAGAAAAAATGTCTCCAACTTGAACCCCTTCACTTAAAACATAATCCTTCTTCTTGACAATGCGAGTCTGGTCCATGACAACAGCAAACATCTCCTCAGAGTCTGACTCTGATGTAGGGGTGGGCTCCTCCGTAGGATCATCACTCCCACCTCCACTACTAGACACTATGTAGGGGTAGGATGCCCAGTACGAGTACCCTGACTCGCCAGTGCACCCTCTCTGTAGTTTAAGGTACCCCTCAATACCCCAACCTGTTCCCCAACTGGCAGGGTTATCAGTGTTAGTCTTTATTCGTATCCTCTAGTTTCCCAATTCCCAAGTGTTAAAGATATTTGTACACAATATGTCCGGCTAATCATATCATAAACATTCCATATCATTTACTGGAGTGATGGTATCTAACGTGACGTCACACCACAGCTAACGTGACGTCACGTTAGTTGTGGTATGACGTCACGTTAGTTGTGACGTCACGTTAGTTGTGTTGTTGCGTCACGTTAGTAGCTAACCTGTTTTTGATGATAAGAATGTCAGCATCGTACCCCACTAAAGTAACAAGGTGGTTACAATCCTCCCCAATACACGAGCTAATAGAGCCGCTCTTGTAGTAGTAGATTGAGTCGTCCACGTTGATGCAGACTGCCATAGGACCGTAACTCTGGTTATAATGTTAGTTAACTCTAGTAACTCTGGTTATAATGTTAGTTAACTCTGGTAACTCTGGTAACTCTGGTAACTCTGGAAAAATGTTAGTTAACTCTGGTAACTCTAGTAAATCTGGTTATAATGTTTGTTAACTCTGGTTATAATGTTAGTTAACTCTGGTAACTCTGGTTATAATGTTAGTTAACTCTAGTAACTCTGGTAACTCTGGTAACTCTGGTTATAATGTTAGTTAACTCTAGTAACTCTGGTAACTCTGGTTATAATGTTAGTACCACGGGACGGACTTGTTTCTTAACACTTAAAAACAACACTATTATTCTCTATAATACTACTGGTACTAATTGATATAGCAGCTCAGTATTGAAGAGTTTACAATTAACTTTACCTGCAGGTTTGAAATCATGGTATCCTCAGCATCATGCTGTCTGATAACTTGGTAACCTGTTAATGTGGCATCTCCCATACCGTTGGTAGACTCCCTGCTACAGCTATCTTCTGTCTCTAAACAGAACACCTGGTTACACTCTTCACCAGAGAAAATATTTAAGACATTCTTCAAAAATATTGCACTTTAAAATGTTGAAAGGAGTATATAAGGTAGTAAAGGTACTATTTTGAAGATGTTCCGTTAAATGTTAGGTTTTAGGTAGATATTCGAGCTTCTAATTACGAATTAAAGCAAGTCCGTCATGTTATGGAGTCAGGGTTTGGACCAGGTGCAGCCAGTCCAAACCCTGTTATATGTAACAGGATATTAACGTACTTTCACCAACATAAGAATAGTCTTCCATTAGAGAAATGTAGGAGTTGGTCCTTACATCATCCCATACTGTGGGCCACCATCCACCACTACATCCGTAATCTAGTGGGGAATTCAGTTCAACTATTGAGGAATTCAATTGGTATTATTCGTTATTCAATTATGTGTAACATACTGTTATCCGATATCTGCAAAAAATCTGTCCTTAGTTTAAATGATAATTCGAATGAGTTAGAAAGAGCTATTTGGAAAGAAGAAGCCGAACAAGAGCAGGGCATTTTAAAATTAAGCTATTCATATCAACTAACAGCCTACTTACTAGGTGACTATAACTTCTAGGTAACCTAGGTAACTGGTAACTGGTAACCTAGTGGCTTGTTTTATGTACCTTCACTACAATCCAACTGCTGCTGTTCACTAAAATTCTTAGCGTTCCCTGTGGCTAGGAAGTACGCTCCCTCCATCGCTGCCACCGAACCAAACGCCCAACATGACCCGCAAGACCCTGCAGGAGATCTTACAGAATTTGTACGTCACACAGCTAAATGATAATGGTATTTTTGATGAAGCTGTAAGTTATCATGACCATGAAAGTGATTGATACTTCTCCGGGTTTATAAGAAATATGTGATCTTAATTAAAGTAACGGACCTTGGTTTTTGACGGAAGTAACAGCTCCATAATCTCTCCAGTCCAGAGTGTCTTCACTTCTCTTACTTCTAGTACTCCTGTAAAAGTACCCACTAGCCGATTTTACTCACATTAAAATCTTGTAAGATGAGATATTATCAATGTGAAGTGTGAATATCAAGTACCTAAGTAGACTGTGTCTGGGTGGAGGAGGTTGCTGGGATCCAGGACTGGAGCTCAGTTGAAGTGGTGCCTCACTCCTGGAGTTCTGAGTCATGTTAACTCCTAGGTAACTCTTCTTCTCACTAGGGTGTCTGGAATGTATATCGTGTTGACTGTGATTAGTTTCCTAATTGGTCAATTATTTGTTAATTTGTTTGTTAAAGCCAAGCAAATCATGATTACAGCTTTTATCTGAGTATCAGTAGAGACGGGAAGCTAGTGTTCGATCTTAACAAGCAATGGTACTGGGAAACTGACCATCAAGGAAAAGAAGTTCTCCTCCATTTTAAAGTTTCGCTGGTTCCTCAATTTACCAATCTGTGTCCTTGCATTTTGGAACAGCAAATACCTTTGAGCTGGGAGAGTATAGTTTGATTTATATCTTGGGTTCTCTGTGTTTCAAGTTATATCTTTACAGAGCACTCTCAAATTATGAAAGAAGATTACAAATTATTCTACAGTATTCGTTTGCTTACTTTTGGTATCATCAGTAAATATATCCTTCAATCCTTTGAACTCTCTTCCCCCTGGTCCTCTGAGGGGACGGTCCTTCATATCTTTATCATCTTTCTCTGCAGAATAAAATTGATTATCGATAATTGAAGTGAGCCTCTTTCATAATTTCATCACGATGTGTGCATCCCAGCTACAGCTGTCTAAATAGAATAGATTGGTTATAATTAGTAGACCATGATTATAATTCATCAAAATCAATGAAGTCAAATCGGCAAATTGTACCCAAAGTAGCGTCCCATAGTTTGTTAAAGTCCGTTCGTGCCTGTATGGCGGCTTGTTTCTTTCTCCAGAGCCCTTCCCTTCTCCCCTGTTTCTTATTCACCTTCCCTCCATAAACGATAAAAATCACTGATACAACTATTAGAACTAGATAGGACGCCATGTTAATTTGTTACAGTTGAGTATATAAGCACTATAAACTTAACACTCACTGAAAAACGTTTTGAAAATATGTCAACTGTTGACAACGGTAGTAATCTTTACGTGTTTACACTGTGTGTGCTAAGTGTTGATTCATAGATAAACAAACAAACAACAGGTCGATTATAGTAATAATTGCCAGTATATTCCTAGTTTTAATTTCGAAATATATTTCACGACTCTATATTATAAATATAACTAGCAGCATAACAATAATAAATAATAAATATATATTATATAAATAGCAGTTCTGTCAGTTCCGTAATAAGTAATGCACAGATTATTATTTCCACATTAAATAAAAGCTTTTCTGTCGAAATTTCACAATTTTGGCTGAATTTTTGTACAGTAACCAACCAGTGAAGTTGGTGTGAGTGACACAAATCACCAGTACAAGGTACTGGAAGCTAAATATCGGGAGAAAACTGTGATGAAAGGTAAATTTAGAAAATGTCCTACCGGCAGGACAGTGGACATTTTCAGATTTCAGCTTTCCGCGACCCAAATTTCACTGAATTCTCTGGCACAAGACACGATTGAGGTACCGAAATTTTTCAGTTTTATTCCCAAAGAAAGCTTTGATTTTGGAAAGACAAAAGAAGCTTTTCTGCCGTTTCCTTGACCGAAATTTCGCGAAATTTTTGACCAGTGACCAATCAATAAGGTCAGTGAGATTGACACAAGTCGCCATCAAGGTACTGGAAGTGGAAGATGTTTATCCAGAGAAAACTTTGATGGGAGTAAAATTTTTAAAATGTCCTACCGGTAGGACATTTTCAGATTTCACCTTTCCTCGACACAAATTTCACTGTTTTGACTAAATTTGTTTTAATGACCATCTAGTAAGGTCACTGAGTATGGCACAAGACAGTGACACGATTGAGGTACGAAAAGTTCTATTTGATTCCCAAAAAAGCTTTGATAACCGGAAAATCATCAGAATACTAATAGAAAAAGAGATTTTGGAAGACTTTTGGAAAAAAGCTTTTCTGCCGTTTCCTTGACCGAAATTTCGCGGTTTTGACTGAATTTTTAACCAGTGACCAATCAATAAGGTCAGTGCACAGTGAGAGTGACACAAGTCGCCATCAAGGTACTGGAAGCTGTATAATGTATATTTATATTGTTTATTCGGAGAAAACTTTGATGGAAAACGTATTAAATGTTACTTGGTTGCATTTGCAAGCCAATCCTAAAGCGCGGCGCTCTTGTTGCATATCCATGAAAGTTGCAAGCATGCAATCAGCAATAGGATGATGATTAATCACTCTACACTCGACTGTCACGTGACTTTTTCAACCCGTTCTCTAGCTGGACCTGAACGACTATTCGAAACCCTAACTCTCCCCAGCAAACCTTACTGGCTAGCGATATTACTACAGGGTGATCGCCTTTTCACAGCATGTTGAACTCCGCGCGTGCTCGCTAGTTCATTGCATTTGCACGCTTCAAATATTCCAAGAATGCATTTGTACCGCGTACCACGTGAAACGATTCAGCCAATCAGAGAACAACAATTTGCAAAGTTAAAGCTATGCAGTTTTATAAGGCCTAAAATATGACTTTTCGCGATAGTTCAAAATCTACGTTGTTTTCAATTTTCCCCCTGGGGGGAAACGTTATTTTTGCGAAACGAACATTTTGCAAAAAACCGGAAGACGCTATCTCTTTTACTTTCAAAGTTAGGCTCCAGCCAGTAAGGTTTCCTGGGTCTAATTTGATCCCAACCCTAACTCTAACCCAATCCTTAACAAAAGCATATGCTGAAATCCTAACCCTAACAAAAAATTAGACTAACTTCCTTATTCGGCCGTTCATATAACGTGATCGAGACAGTTTTTCGCCAATATCTCGTTAGTGACAGTATTGAGTATATGAGCAAATATAAACCATTTTTAATTTTTGTCAGACGCGCGAACGTAAGAGGGTTTTTAAAACGTTGTATTATGTCGTGACCCCATTGTCGTTGTAGGTTTACAACCTACCAGGACGCGCGCCGAGTTGGACTCGTCGACGGTCCTAATATATGGAACAGATTTTTTTCGCTGGAACGACAGGCCGAGCCGCCCAGTAACCAAATCATTGTTACTTTTACTTGGCGGCGCTCAACCTTGTAGTTGTAGCGAGATGCGCTACTGTGCTGCGCCGAGCTGCGATAAATCGACATCGTCAATTAACGCTCAGCCGTCATTCCGCTGAATTTCTATTATGAACATTACAGCTTGCATGTGATCCTCGCCTCAGGTAAATCGTTGTTTTGCAAAGATAAAAATCGGGAAGTAACAATGAATGATCTCGAAGTATGTAATTGCTTAACGGGTAATACTCGTAAAATATCTGTTCCATATATTATATTGGACCGTCGACGAGTCCAACTCGGCGCGCGTCCTGGTAGGTTGTAAACCTACAAGTATTTGCGCGCGGCGAGTCGAAATTGCTCTAACCAGAGCCCTCTCGCTTGCAGTACGCGTAGACACATGGCTATGTGAAGCGTGTCGAAGCGCCGTCCTTTAAAATTTATTTAGCACTTTGCAAGCTATTTAAAAATTAAATATGCGTAATCCGTCCAATTTGAAGTAATTTGAAACTATATAGTCACTAAACCAATAAAACATCGATATATAGAACAGATATTTTACGAGTATCACTAGGCAGTGCGCCATCGACAATAAGACGCGCGCGCTGACCATTGAATGGTTTTTTAGCTCTTATTTCGGCCAGCACATTATTTTGGAAACAATCGAAAAGTTATAATACTTCCCATATAACAATTTTGTTGAAATTTGGTCAGCTTACGTAAACACTTATGTTCTACTGAACCTAATTTAGTTTGAGCAATTTCGATGGTCAGAATTTGAGTTATCAACGAATTTATACCTATTTTGTCATTTTTAGACCTCTTAATCAAGGGTAATCTCTCCCAACTAAATTAGGTTCGGTAGTTAAGTATGATTGGAAGGTTCTGACAAATTTTCAGCATGATTCATGTTCAGGAACTGAAGATATGACAGAATAATACGACAAAAATCAACGAATTTCGTCAAATTACGCGACTTTTACACTTAATTTTGCTCCAAAAGCCGCGCACCATCAAATATGGCACCTAGGAGGAACTCGCTGATCATTCCAAAAAGGTATAATAAATTTGGTACTGTGAAAATTCTCACAGTCTCTAGAAAACGATGGTACAAAAATTTTGAAAATCCGAGCAAGTTTATTTTTATCGTGCACCGCCTAGTATCACCCGTTTACGAGTATCACCCGTTTAGTTAAGCTTCTCTAACGGAGAAAAAGCTCGAAAAGAGCGCCGCGCATAAAAATATACGTGCCTGGGAATTTTTGGCCATCTGCAACAAAGCTCAAATATTTTGGTCCTACAGGAGCGATACACCCCTTATTATCTCAAAACTCTAGTTTTTTATTTACTGAAGCGTTGGGTATTCCAGGCCATTAACTCGTTGGATTATAATTTACAGCAATCTGTACGATATTAAAACATCTTTTTCGTTTTGAATGTTTATAATGTAGGCTAACACTATCGATTATCTCATGACTAATAAATTATATCATACATGCAGCTTGTAGCGCGATGTACTACTGGGTTGCGCGCGCGCATCCAATAATGCTTCTCGCAACCACGTATGCAGATCGGCGAGATGCGAAGGATTGACATCGTGAATCAAACATGCAGCCAATCGGATATGATTCCATTTTACCCAAATACGTGATCACCTTTGTCCTTAAGAACTGCCAATATGATGTAGTAAAACAAATTTTTGTTTTACTACATTTTTTTAGTAAAACAAATTTTATTTTATACCCACAATCAATTCATATTTAGTTCAAATATTTAAAGTCAAAACAACCATTTCACATAAGTGGTTATATCATAATAAAATAATTTGTGATAAATTAATAAATTAATTTACACTCAAAAATGAACAAAAATATACACAATTTTTACCTAGTGCAACACTGGTTCAGCGCGCGGCTGATCGAAAAAGTTTGATTTGATTTACTAACTACAGTGTACAGCGTACATGAAAAAATTACTTACTGAATCTTTTAATACTAGACACATTTTAATTCAGATGTTGTTCAATGAGTTAGCCACAAAAATGTTCAAATTATGTAGGAGGGTAAAGGACACAATTGCTAGTAGTGCTTCTTTGTGCCCGTTGACTACAATGAACATTTTGCGGAGTTTCTCCAGACGGCTTTTATCGGAGTGCGTGTTATTTACTTGGTTATGCACAAGCCAGGCCAACATTTTGTTTTTGTGTCAGCCGTGCTACCAGGTTGCAGAGTATTATAAACACTAAACAATTATACACTATACAAATTTGCTAATACAATATCATGCAGAGTCCGATCTAGCTGCAAAAGTCAGACACCACAGTTCAGCCGCCAAGTACCGTTTAAGTGAACACCGAAACACGAGGTTTAGGTGTCATTTTGTAAATCACTTTATGGATGGATAATTCAGTAATTGTTGAAGAAAATTACAGTCACTGCCACCTATAGCGTTATGTCATGGGTCTGATTAACGGCCAAGAATAAACGTACGTGCGCGCTTAAGAAACCCGCGCAAATATTGAGGTAGGGAGTAGCTGCGGCGCGCTTTTAACGTATATTACGTATAGCGCCGTACGGAAACGGCAATATTTAAGTAATTAAGTATTTGTTTACATAAATTCCACGTTTTTATCAATAATCTAGCATGGTCCAAAACTGAAAACTGTTAAAGTTGTCATTATGCCACTCATTATCGAACCTGCTTTGGGCATCTAGAAGAGATCGGTTTAGCCTTGATTTGATTGAGTTACAGGATGTGTTCACAAAGTCAGGTTTATTCTGTGGATTGGAGTCCTTGAATTGATTCCAAAGCCAAGAAGATTTATAAATAAAGTTATGGCTTTGATTCACGATGTCAATCCTTCGCAGCTCGGTGAGGCACAGTGG